AGAGCAGATGAACTGGGCAGGAAGTCAGACACAGAATGGCAGAGAGAATCTGGTCAATTTTCAAAATAAAACACCGTGTGCAGACTCCCCATCCTATATCAACAATAAACACAGTTAAAACAACAACAACAAAAAACAATTTAATTACGTAGCCTACTTAACCATGGTAGAAGCACAAAATCAAGGACAACTGAAAAAAATCTGAACAAGTCAGCAAAGTCAGGCAGGCTCTTATCCTGAAATGCTCCATGAGGGCTATGTAGCCATGCAGAGAGCAGAACAAACGGGCTCACAGAGAGGTGGTGTCTGAAGCAAATTTTCCCACTTTAAAACCACTAAAAAGTGATGTCTTTCTTTGTGTCAAGTCAACATTCTCAACCATGAAAAAGAGAAGTATAGGAAATGCATGCCTGCTTCCACTCATCCCTGTTTTTAAATAGGATTGTTTTGGCTGCATTACATATTACATACGTGTCATGGGGTGCCAAATTAGTAGGCACACTGGCTCAGTGGTCGGGGGCCTCCAGGTGTTTTGTGGTGAAAGTGATTGACAGTGTGCCTCTCATTGAAAAATAGTGAAGAGCACTGATCTGAAGCAGCATACAGACTTTCCACTGGGATTGTTCAACTTCTATGCTTAATGAATCACACAATTCAAAATACATAGTCATTAAAATGTGTTTATTCAGGAAAACGAATCATGTATTAAAAAGTTAAAAAGATTTAGAGCAGCAAAAAGACAAGTGCAAAAGGTGTGAAAGCTTTACAACTTAGTCAGGTTGTGTCACAGCCGTTTACAGCTTAGAGAAAGGCAACATATTGTTACACATTGCTGTGTCTTGGGTGGTCCTTCATCTAAAAGTATGACATATTATCTGGAAGAGAAAACACAGACAAAGATTGCACCTTTGAGCAATTACAGTTTCTAGTCAGATTTCAACACAAGGAGCTGGAGGTTTTTCCTAAAAGCATTTCAGCCCACAGTAAGGTCCTGATTAAACCCTGACCTGCTGGTAACCTCTCTTTTTGAGTGAGCAGCTGCAAGCACAAACTCAAGACTGCTTAGTTTTACATGTTATTTTCAGTGAATGCATTCATTTTGAACTTTTGTAAATGTAAACATGATTGAAATAATGCCCATAGACACTGTGGTATGGAGGTCATACATTAGTTATGACATTGATTTGATTAAATTTGGAAGAACATTTTTGACATCAATGGTCTCCGGAGATCTCAGCTAATGGAAGCAGTAGTACGAGGATAAGGAGAATCATTGGGGGCAACAGTGACAAACAAAATCCATGTCAATTCCCAGCAGTTCCAGACATCTTTCTGTGCTGGCCAAAAATTCCTGTGAGCGGATGTTAACCTGAACTTCCACGGCAATTTAACGTGCCGAAAAAAATCCCACTTTTCATGCAGCGACTACAAAAGTCCTTATGGTTTACCTAACCTGTTGGCTAGGCCATGCTTTCAGTGACTCACCGTCATTATCAGAGTCAGAGTCTGCGAGGGGGGGGATTCGCACAAGGATCTGGCGGCGGTCTCTGAGGACCACCAGCTGTAGCTTCCCTCTCGACTTCTCTATCAGTTTCCCGGCATCATGCAGAGACAGGTTCTCTGTCACTGTCCCATTGATCTGCACACGCACAGCACAAACAGATCTGTATAGAGCTTACATTTATATAATGTTGCTGTCAATTTGAAACATTTTGTGACACACAGTTTATTGTGTTATGTGTTTTATGTATAGTATCTCATAAAAGTGAGTCAGGGTAGCCCCAGGATTCTCCAAGTTAAATTTAGGACTTTTGAAGAACTTTTTAATACCACCTAGGATGAAATTATTTACAAAGTTATATGAATTTAATAAAACATTTTATTAAAATACATTAATATTTACACACTATAGCTTTTTGGGGACGTCCCTTTGTGTTGAAAAGTGGCGGGGACATAGGGGTTCAAATTAGCGGTGTGATGATACACTTAGCTCACATGCACGATTCACAATATTGGGTTCACAAGCCCAAGACAAGAAGATATTTTAACACTATTTTGATGAAATATTCAATGCTGAAATATATTTAAATGGGGGTCCCCTAGAAAATTTTGACATCACTTAACACTCCTGCATTCTGGAGACATTTTCTGCACCAATTTATGGTAGAATTGTCTTGATTTATATAAAGTGATTCAGGTGACAATTCAAACTTGTTTTTTTATTTTTTGCTTAAGGAACATTTTTTGGACATAGATATTTAGATTGCAGTGCATGTTTTCTTATTGTGCAAATAAACCTTTGTCAAAGCATTTTCATTTGTATTTTGACATTTCTTGCTGTAAGCCATTTTTCAGAACATAGTTTAAGAAATGCTTGTTAAAAAGTGATGGAGACATGTCCCCAGCGTCCCCTGTGTAAATGACACCTATGAAATGAATAAAATATTGTGCAGTGTGATTTGTTACAATTAGTTACACCTTGGCTAGATAAGATATGTAATGTAATGTAGTATGCCAATGTAAATGGCAATTTCTTCAGTGATTAATCATCCTGTTCTGTTTTTCCATCTAAAGGCTGCTTGAAATATATTATTATATAGTACTGGCTTGAAAGCAGCGGGGACAAGGAGTTTGGCTGGTATCTTTAAAGTGCGTTAGCATGTTGGATGTTTCCGTTCACGTAACGTTACCCTACAACAGTGACACAACGCCGACACACAGACACGGTCCTCATCTCATACACAACTGTCTCTCCGTTGCTGTTGTAACATTCGCTGACCAGTAACCTGCAGGTCTTCCAGCTATACTGTTTCATCACTATGAGTTTCATAGTGTGACTGACTCGCACACCGATCCGCTTGTTGTGCCACCGTCCTCAGCCGCCACTTGTCCGTGTCTCTGGCTTTCTGAACTTCAGACACTTGCCCATTCTGAGTCGACGAGCTAACGTTAGCTTGTTAGTAGCACGTCAGAGACGTTTTGTTTTCTTTATTAACAACTCGAGCTTGGATGGCAGAGCTCGTGCACCACGAACACTCCACAGTCCAGAGCATAAAGCTAAACACGGACGTTAACAGTAACGTTACCTGTACTGCCGTATAACATCAGAGTCACACCAAACGGAGTCAATTGTAAAGTCCCACTGAGGGCATTTATTTAATCCTATGAAAGAACAAGAAAAAATTTAAGATCTTTGTAAGTGAAATTTAATACTTTTAAGAACTTATTTAACTTTTTAAATACTTTTAAGACCCTGCGGGTACCCTGGTGAGTACACTCCTCATATTTTTGTAAATATTTTATTCTATCTTTTCATGTGACTGAAGAAATAACACTTTGCTACAATGTAAAGTGTGAGTGTACAGCTTGTATAAATCTGTAATCTATATCTATATCTAATCTATAAATCTGCTGTCCCCTCAAAATAACACATCACACAGCCATTGATGTCTAAACCGCTGGCAAGTAAGGACACCTCTAAGTGAAAATGTCCAAATTGGGCCCACAGTGTCACTATTTTGTGTGGCCACCATTATTTCACAGCACTTCCTTAACCCTCTTGGGCATGGAGTTCACCAGAGTGCTCAGTAGGGTTCAGGTCTGGAGACATGCTTGGCCAGTCCACCACCTTCGTGGTCGTCTTGGAGGTGTGTTTGGGGTCGTTTTCATGTTGGAATGCTGCCCTGCGGCCCAGTGTTTGAAGGGAGGGGATCCTGCTCTGCTTCAGTATGTCACAGTACATGTTGGCATTCATGGTTCCCTCAGTGAGCTGTAGCTCCCCAGTGCTGGCGGCCCCCATAGAGCCCCAGACCAGGACACTGTAGGCAAGACACACTTGTCTTTGTGCTCCTCACCTGGTTGCCGCCACACACGCTTGACACCATCTGAACCAAATAAGTTTATCTTAAGTAATCCATGTCCTCAGTCTGCTTGTCTTCAGCAAACTGTTTGCTTTCTTGTGCATCATATTTAGAAGAGGCTTCCTTCTGGGGGGCCTGTTCTGAGTGGAACCTGTCCTCTTGAACCGCTGTATGGCTGCAGCTCAGTTTCAGGGTCTTGGCGGTCTTCTTATAGCCTCAGCCATCTTTATGTAGAGCAACCATGTTGAGGGAGTGTGAGAGCGAGAACACCAAATTTAACACACCTGCTCCACATTCACACCTGAGACCTTGGAACACTAACGAGTCACATGACAGCGGGGAGGGAAAATGGCTAATTGGGCCCCATTTGGACATTTTCAAAAAATTTCTTTACATTATTTACAACAATGTGAGGGCTGTACTCCCTTTTATGAGATACTTAAATCATAGTTGTTGCCACCTGTTTTGGCCAGGAAAAACCTGAACACAATGAGGCTGTTTAGTTAGTTAAAAATTAAAAAGGTGTACTTTCACATAGGGCTGACCACAATTAGTCAAAGATTCGATGCTTTGCTGGGCGGAGCCTGATTTCACTGTAAATCTTAGAGTCGAAGCTCCGCAGTGAAACAAGGATCATACCATTTTGGCGATATGGGGGTGCTCAACATCTGATTTTACAAAGAACTACCACTTTTCTCCCAATACGTTGATATACAGCCTATTACAATATCCATTTTAACGTTTAATACTGTAAATAAACATGTAAAAAGACTAAAACTTTCAATAAATGTTTTTAAAGTGCGTGAATAAATCCTAAATTGTAACCCTAACCCTGGGTTGTCAGTGCACATGTGTAGGCATAGCGTGCACACTTACACGCTACACCTACACATGCACACTGACGACCCAGGGTTGCAGAAGAGACGGAGCCCCAGTATCCAGTATTTCACAAGAAAAATGAGCAAAAACTAGAGCAGTGAAAGAAGAAACACGTTACTTTACATGAATGTAAAACATTTTATTCTTTCACGTTATCTAGTGATCTCTTAGCGGGTCCCTAGACCCCAGGTTTGGAACCAATGTGCTACATGGCCTATGGCCGGTGATGGATGTGACAGTGTGACTGCACTGGGAATGAATGTGTGTGCACCTTAAGAATAATGTCACCCTCCTGCAGGTGCCCGTCCTTGGCAGCCAGGCCTGTGCTGGTCATCTGTTTGATGAAGATCTGACTTCCCAGACGTAGACCATACTCTACAAAAATACAAAAACATACAATACACCAGCATTACTGCAAAGCCCTGCTGGAACTGACTGAAGATATTTTATTTTGGCATTTCCAGACAGAACAGGAGGTGAATGCAGTGCTGTTCAGAATTTCTACCAGTACACCAGAACACAGAAGAACATGATTAGAGCATCTTCTGGCCGGTCAAAGTGCTTTCGCCTTCACACGTTATTTCAGTCAGCCCTCTATGAACAATTGTCTTTAATCTGTAAATACTGACATTTGTGTTTTTCTTACTGACAGTATGCCAGTATTTGAGTGTATTAACTGTTATAGTACAAATTATGGCCAATTTTTTAGGCCCAGTTTTCCCCCAGCCTTTGTGGATCTGGGTGGAGCTAAAGACCATGAAGAGTCTCACATCTCCACACGAAAAATGCAACCTGATCGATGCTTATCAGGAGATGCACAATTTAACAATCTGTAAAGAAATACACAAGAATGTCACAAGTCTTATTTGTAGGAAGCGAAAATGATCAGATCTGTGAGGCTGGAGTTAAAACCAGTACATAAAATATTTATTCAGGTTGTGAGGTGATTATTTGTAAAATGTGTTTAAATTGCTTGGTATTTGTGTGTGGACTGAACGCACCCAAAATTATGCCCAAATCGTTATACAGGTGTAAATCTGATTTTACATTTGTAGATCATGCAATACACATTTCTGTCGAGTTTGAGTCTAATTTCACTTCTGTTACGCCCGGCCTAGGGGAGGCCTGAGCGCAACACGATGTCTCCTCTCTTTTCCCCACTCCCCATAAATCATCAAAAGGCTACGGGATATTCTGACGGTTAATGTTAGACTTATTCACAGATGGTATAGAAGACCAAGACATCAGGGAGAGGGAGAAACAAAACCACCTTTGCCCATCCCAATAATTTATCCTACAACAAAGAAAAATAAAAAAGGAAAGAACAAATACTTTTTAATACTTTAATACTAAGACTACCTGGCCAGAAAACAGGAGAAAACAATATTCAAAATAAATGGCAGCTCTCTCCTACTGTTTCCCAACAGTACACCACTAACTTCCAGCACATGGGTGAAATACAACAAAGGGTAGGCTATAATACACCAGAACACCCGCCTGGCTGGGGAGGTAGGGGAAAGGGAGGAGAGAGCGCGCGGCCTCCACACAGGTCCCTTTATACAGGAAATCCTCCAGCCCAATCCGCTCTCCACCATCTGTAACACAGACAAACAAAACAGCTCCTCCCTCGGGTAGGGAGGGTAACAGCAGGCAGATAACAGCAGGCAGAAATACACATCATTGAGACTCACATCCAAACCAATATGACTCCAGGTCATAACACCCCCTCACTTGAGATCGGACATTTCTTCCCCCTAAAGAACCATCATGTTCGATTCCTTAGACTCCCACCCGAGATAACGCATCAGCCACAACATTGTCTGACCCCTTTATGTGGTGAATCTCAATATTAAAATCCTGCAACAACAATGACCAACGCATCAGATGGTGATTGTTGTTGCGCATACAGGACAGAAACACTAGGGGATTGTGGTTTGTAAAGACCAGAACAGGGCTTGCAGTCGAACCAACATAAACTTCAAAATGCTGCAACGCCCACAGTAGTGCAAGCGCTTCCTTCTGAATTGTGATATATTTTCACCTGACATTTGCCAAATTTCTTAGAAAAACAGCACACAGGATGATCAACACCACAGTCATCCTCCTGCAAAAGCATCCACCTCCAACTTAAAAGGGCAGCCAACACAGGGGCACTGCACAAGAGAGCTTTCGCAGAAACAAATGAGTCTTGACACACAGCATCCCAAACAAAAGGGCGAGACGGGCTGGACAAATCAACGAGTGGCACAACAACACTAGCAAAAGTTTTGCAGAATCCAGGATAATAACCACACATTCCCAAGAACCGACGGAGCTGCCTCCGAGTTTCTGGAACGGGAAAATCCAGAATGGCCTGAACTTTAACCACCAGGGGGCGCACCTGCCCCTGCCCCACTTGTTTCCCTAAATAGGTGACCACCGCCTTTCCAAACTCACATTTCACCAGATTAAGGGTCAAGGAAGCCCTCTCCAGGCGACAAAATACTTCCTGCAGAGTGTCTAGGTGATTAGACCAAGTGGAAGAAAAGACTACAATATCATCCAGAAATGCTTCACAATCGTTGACACCCGACAGAACTATACCCATCAGCCGTTGGAAGGTGGCAGGGACAATTTTCTTGTCAATCCAAACACTGATTGACAAGAAAAATCAAAAGCTTTGTACAATCTAATGCTACATCCATGCTATAAATCCTATCCTAGTGAAGCCTATGTTTAAACAGGTGTCAATTTAACATTTATAGATGCTCTTAGAAAAACAAAACAAACATAATAATGATTGTTGTGTTTCTGTGGGCATCAAGAGAAAAAGGTTTTTAAAACGAGAAAGAGAAAAGAATTTTAAAACGAAGGACAATCAGTGTCTCAATTCTCAAAGAAAACATTGTGATTCTCATTTTATCCACATTCATGTAGCCCTACAACCTCTTAGTTAGTTAAATGAGCAGCTATGGTAGGTAGCTGGTGTATTTTACCTTCGCTGGGTCTGTTCTTCACCAGCAGGACATTTACAGGTTTCTCCAGCGGCTCCAGCTCTTTGGAAGGTTCTGGGGATGGAGGGTTGTCATTAATCTGGTCCCTGCTCTTATACCTTTCTCCTCTTCCTCCTCCTCCTCGCTCAAAGTTGTCCTCCATTTTGGAACTTTCCCCGGGACTGCGTCCTCGGCTGTGGTACCTCTGACGGTCGCCACTGGTTTCCAGAGCTCGTCCCCGGCTGCCCTCCCTCCTGGCTCTGTCTGTGCTGGGCGAGGTTCTCTCCAGGCTTCTCCCGCGGCTCCTTCCCCTGTGGTTGTAGTCCCGCCCTCCCCTGTACTCAGGATCCAGGTATCCTTTGCTGTCAGTGGTGTGGTCCCTGCCTTCATTACGGTACCATCCATCATCATTGTCGGCATCATAGTAGTGGGTGGAAGGGGAGTATTCCCGACTGTCTCCACCTGGGGATGGGGACTGCTTCATTGAGAGCACCATCTTCCGAGGTCTCTTCACCGTCTGACAGAGAAAGAAAAAACAGAAAGCTCATTAATGTCAGTTCAGCTCCTTCAAGGTTCCAGCTGAGTGCAATGATGTGGGCAAAATGTATGACCCACAGCTTTGGCCAGAAGGGATCTTTGTACTTTTTTTTTATTGTGCGAGAAATAAACATGATTTGTGTCATATAACTTGCGTGGGTTGCGTTTAGGACAGGCTCCTGGAGAAGCAGATATTTTGTATTTACAAGAAACTTTTTAGCAAAACAATATCTAGATCAACTTAATTCTGTGCAGAATCATTTCTATGGCCACAGCTCCCACACTTTTGTTGTTGTCGCTCTTTAGTGTAAGAGCTGTGGCTCTCAAATGTTCTCGAAAACTTACAAAACCTTGCACACACGCCAGGTGGGTCAACAACCAAGAGGAAATTGGCCATTTTGGAGTGGACGTTTTACACACTCCGCACTTTAATGAACTCCTCCTAGAGAATTAGTCCGTGTGACTTCAAATTTTGCTGTGCAGTGTTATCCAATCGATGATATGTTGTACAAATGGTGAGTTTTGGTCAACTGGGGATGCCCGTGGCGTGCAGTGGAAAATCAATGATTCACTACAGGTGTGATACACCTTGAACACATCCATATGCCAACATTCACTCAAAGTCATAGTGCCATGCTACATCAACTCCAAAACTGTCCCAGAAAAGCCTTAACACAGTGATGATGCCATTTTGTGAAGCTTGTGAGTTTTCAGAAAACAGTGTTCCTGTGGCAAAAAAGGTTCACGCTTTGCCAAGACAAAAGGACGTTGTTGTATCTTCACTGATAAACATCCCACACTGAACACATCTACAAGCTCATACTCATGGTCACAGCGCCACCTACTGGCAACAGTTCTATGTTGTGATGAACCACATTTCGCAGGATGGCCATATCTACTGCAAAACTATCTCTAGATAAACTAAGTCACACGTAGATGATGTTATGCTGTAAAGCTTCTGGGTTTTCCTTCAAAGGTGTGTGCTTGGCATGGCAGCAAAGTACCATGCTGCGCCATGAAACAGGAAGTTGTTCGCTTCTCATGCAAATAGAGAATGGTGAATAAATAATAAGTGGAAACCAGTAAATAGGTGGCTGATTAGAGGCAGAGTTACTGGGTTATTGCACAGGAATTGTTCCTGACACCGTGAGTCAGAAATCAGCTGTTCATCAGAGTGATGGTTTGTGGGAAGAAACTGTTCCTGAGTCTGTTGGTTTTGGCGTATAGGGCTCTGTCCTGAATGGAGGGCAAGTTGGCACCAATGATCTTTTCTGCAGTCCTGACTGACCGTTGTAGTCTGCTCCTGTCCTCTGCACGTGCAGGACAGACTGGATAATGGCTGTGTAGAAGTGGATCAGCAGCTCCTTAGGCAGGTTGAGCTTCCTGAGCTGACGCAGGAAGACTTGTTGATGATGGTGTCTGTGTTGGGCTCCCACTTCAGGTCCTGGGATACATTTGATTTGAAAACCCGAAATAAATTTTAATTTGATTTCAAATCAAATCAAATAGCGGATCCCAGAAACCTGAAGGATTCCACAGCAGACACAGGGCTGTTGAGTATGGTAGAGTGGTTGGCTCCTCCTGAAGTCCACGGTCATCTTCACAGTATTGAGCGTGTTAAGCTCCAGGTTGTTCTGAGCACACCAGAGAACCAGCTGGTCAACCTCCCGTCTGTAGGCCGACTCGTCACCGTCCCAGATGAGGTCGATGACCGTTGTGTCATCAGTGAACTTCAGGAGTTTGACAGATGGGTCTCCTGAGGTGCAGTCGTTGGTGTAGAGGGAGAAGAGCAGTGGGGACAGCACACACCCCTGGGGGGCACCAGTGCTGATAGTCCAGGTGCTGGATGTGATGTTCCCCGGCCTCACCTGCTGACTCCTGTCAGCCAGGAAGTCTGTGATCCACTGACAGGTGGAGGCTGGCACAGGTAGCTGGGTGAGTTTGGTGCTGAGGATGTCCGGGATGATGGTGTTGAACGCCGAGCTGAAGTCCACGAACAGGTCCTAGCATATGTCCCTGGAGAGTCGAGGTGTTCCAGGTTGTGATGCAGACCCAAGTTGACAGCATCATCCACTGACCTGTTAGCCCTGTAGGCAAACTGCAGGGGGTCCAGCAGGGGGGCCTGTAATGTCCTTCAGGTGGGCCAACACCAGTCTTTCAAAGGACTTCATTACTACAGATGTCAGGGCGACGGGCCTGTAGTCATTTAGTCCAGAGATGGAGGGGTTTTTGGGGACCGGGTGACTGTGGAGCATTTGAAGCAGGAGGGAACTTCACACAGCCCCAGTGATCTGTTGAAGATCTGAGTGAAGATGGGGGGCCAGCTGGTCCGCGTAGATTTTGGGCAGGATGGAGACACACCATCTGGACCAGGAGCCTTCCTGATCTTCTACCTTTGGAAGAGGTGGCTCACGTCCTCTTCACAGATCACAAGTGCAGATGAGGGGTCAGGGAGGGTGGGGTGACAGTGTGTCAGAGGGGGAAACTGGAGCGGGGGAGAGGTGTGACTGTGGGCTTCTCAAACCTAGAGTAAAAACCAGCAGTGTTGGGGGATGGTCTACTGTAGTTAGTGAGTGTCTGCAGGCCTCTCCACACTGACGCAGGATCGCTGGATGCAAAGCTGTTAATTAGCTTTTCAGTGTAGCTCCTCTTTGCTGCTTTGACCTCTTTAGTCATTGTGTTCCCGGCCTGGTTGTACAAGACTCTCCACTTCTGAAGGCCTCCTCCTTGGTCTGACGAAGCTGCCTGAGTTTCGCTGTGAACCAGGGTTTTTGGTTGTTGTATGTGTGGAAGTCCTCACAAAAACTGACATAAGATGTCACAGTGTCCGTTAGTTTGTCCAGGTCAGTGGCTGCAGCCTCAAAAACACTCCAGTCAGTGCAGTCAAAGCAGGCCTGTAACTCCAGCTTTGACTCGGTCCATCTTTTCACAGACTTTACAACAAGTTTAGCAGATTTCAGTTTTTGCCTGTGTGTCGGGAGAAGATGAACCAGACAGTGATCAGAGAGTCCTATGGCCACACGGGTGACAGAGCGAAAGGCGTCCTTTAATGCTGTGGAGCAGTGGTCCAGTGTGTCCCTGGTGGGACACTTAATATGCTGTCTGTACTTTGGAAGTTCGTGGCTGAGGTTTGCTCTGTTAAAGTCCCCAAGAACAATGAGCAGGGAGTCTGGATGTTTTTTCTCCACGTTGGTTATCTGGTCGGCCAGGTGTATTAACGCCTCACTAACACAGGCCTGAGGCCTGCATGATTTCTTCAACACTGTGACATCTGTGCACCAACCTTCATTTATGTAGAGACAGAGTCCTCCTCCAAGCGAAAAGTGTGAGAGTTACAGCTTTCACACTTTTCGCTCTTTCTTATATATTTGGTGTGAGCTGTAACTATCACACTTTTATCTTTGCTCATTATTCTTTATTTCACCATTTCTTCTGCAACTATCTTCTCCCCACCATTTGTACAAGAAACTTCGTTGCAACTTCAAAATGTACATGCTGTTCAGGAAATGTATGCTATTACTTTTATTGCTGATATCGGTAATGGTTGATTTTAGATTAATATTTTTATGCATTTTAAAATGCAACATGTCTAAATTTAAATTTAGACATGTGGCGTCGTCCGACATCCGTGGGCTTAGCTCGACGAAAAAGCTTAAAAAGGGAACTTGGTCGTTCCTGAATTAGACCAGTGTAACTTAACGTACTGATAACTTTAACAAAACAAAAGAAAGGAAGAAAATAAAACAAGTACAGTTGCTGGAACTGAGGGCAAATCGATGTTGCGGCACTTCGCGTGTGTAGCTTCAAGCGAACAAAGGCCTGTTGCGCTGGTCGAACTCTTAGGGGTTGCCTGGAGAGGCGTTGCCGAAGCGTCCAGAGAGCAGAGACCAGGGCACGAGGGGAAGAGCAGAGCACAGAGAGAGAGCGAACAACGTCACGTGGTTCCCCAGAGGGCGTTTCAGGTCTGCCTTTCTAAACTTTTAATGTCTAAAAGAAAATAAATCTATTTGCACTATAATAAAATATTTTCCACAATAAAACCTCAACGGTCAAACAGTTGTACCGTTCTAAGTTAAGCATTTGGTAACAGGAAACATTATTGGTCAGGATATTTATAAATTAACGGCATTTCCGACGATGGTATGTAATACTTATTTCGTCCACTTGGGGGAGCTCAGGTTACATGAGGAAAGCTTAGATTAATCCAAAACAATCTTTCCTTAGGAACTGGGGAATTTAGTTATTCAGCCTTAAATTAAAGCTGGCGATTAAGAGTATAGTAAAACATTTCTTTTTCTTTATATTTTATTTAAGGAATTGTGTGAGAAAGTATTGTGAACAAGCATTGGTTACAAGTGATGAAGGGGTGTCCTTAATCTTGCTGAAAATAAAAACACTGCATAAGTAACTTATTTAGATTCTTTTCAGCACTAATAACAACAGATAGCAGTTAATGCTCTGGGTCTTTGGAGACCGAAGTCTTTGTTTATTCAAAGTTCGGCTGTCCTGCTTTATGTCACACAAAAGGGGTATCCCTTTGATGGGGTAATGAAACACAGAGCAAGGTCAGTTGCCACGGTTACGTGCATGTGTGTGTGTGGGGGGGCAGTTTTGATAGGCTGTTCAGGGAAATGCTAATCGCTGGTTAGTGTCCCTTTTGTCAGTTTAACAGGCACCGCGTTATCAGCTTCGGAATCAAAAAGGTGCCAGTTTTATGATCAGAGTTAGCACTTAGAGAAAGCAACTTCTCCACCCTCCTTCCGTTGGGGTCTTTTCAGCAGTCTGTTGAAGTTGATCTTTAACCCTCCTGCTCCTCTCTGGGAGAGGAAAAGAGGAATTTGGAGTAGCTCCAAATTTATTTTATATAAAATGCACAAATCCACACTGTTGTCCCACTACTGATTGCATCTTGTTTTTCTGTACTGTAATGGAATACAGTTTTTTGTATCGTGATTACATGTAATCCGTTACTCCCAAACCCTGCTGGTGAGATATTAAAAATGTACAATAACAGAATTTGTCCCAACAAAGGTCCCCCTGTGGAACCATCATGTTTTCCCAGTGTGACACCAGCAGAGCTGTGAGCATCCACAAAGATTGCCTTAACTCAGTGTCTTCTTTGCATATGATTCATACTCACTATTTTGGCCACTTTGCCACATTTACGTAGGGACTGCACAGCAAAGGAATGAGGCACGTTGTCCATGGGGGTGGAGTTGACTTGAATGACACGATCATTCTCACTGGACAAAAAAAGACACAAATACAGTAAAAAATACAAATAATATATGATCATCATGAGATCATACAGACCTGCTGCCACTTAGAAGTAATTCTACTATTCTTGATTGTACAACAAACAAGACGGTCCAACTGCAGACCTCCTCTTTCAGGCCACCTCCACTGTCAGGCCGGTCAGGACAAGAAATACACGCAAAAACTACAAAATAAAAGCATGCGATTTGACAGGAAACGCATTCAAAAATTATAAAGTTTAATCACGTAGACATAGAGGGAGGGTTTTTGTCATTGATTTATATTTAATTATTTAGTCAACACTGTAACGGGAAACTAGCAGGCTAATTCCTTAAATATAGCATATTGAGCTATTCTACTTGGCACTTAACGTGCCAATGTAGGAAGAAAGCCCACTGTAACTAGTAACAGTATCTTTTTTTTTTTTTTTTTTTTTTTTTCTCTTTACGGCATTATTTATTTATTCTGTCAAAATTTGATGTTAACTCCGTCCATACAGCTAGCCACATCCATTCACAGTAAAACATTGTCGTTGATTAAGAGTGTAACTTAGCCTCTCTTCCAGTCATCCTAAAAGAAACACACACACTCATTCATAATTTCCCTTTGAAGAGTAATATACTATGGCATTTTACTGCAATCAGCTGAATTTAACAGGAAAAAACGGACAACTGTGTAAACTGGACTACAATTTGAGCTTCGTGGGAGTCTGTAGTATAACGATTGTTACCGGTGGGGATTAATAAATAAATAATAGAAGCCTGGACAGAGACTTCAATGCTCATTACGTGGTCAACACTTTCTCTCTCACACAGCAGCCTACTACTTGCCCCAGATGTGTGTGATACTGCAACAAAGTCCAAGCGTAGTTCGTTTGGAAAACGTGTTTGTGTATATGTTATTAATATATTGTACATTTGTCATTAAAAATAATGGTTGTAAGTAAATGAATTAGTGACCCCCACAGATGCAGGATTTTACCACTTCAATAAGAGCTCAGACCCTTCTTATGGACTGTAACTAGAACCCTGCTGGACTATGTGGACTATCATACTGTACAATCCGTAAAAATGAACACACATGCAATACAACATGTATACCTGTATCGATAATTTTGTAAATATCCATTTTTTAAAAATGAATTGAGACAACAGCCTACTGTAATAGTACTTTACTTTATTCACTGTATACACACAGATTACACAGTTAGAAAAGGAGCTGGCAGCAGTGACTGATTTGCATTATCCAAAACATTTTTAATAAGTCTGAATGCATGGATCTCTGCATGTTCCATCAAAATATCTACCACTACCAATATTTGTACATCTAAATCCCGCAAATTAGGATCTGCCAACAGTGGCTGTGGTGAGGACTAGTATCTTTACGTGGATAATTGTTAACCGCGTATGTTAAACATGTCACTGCTCCAAAACAGCTGATTCAAACTATCAACTGGTTATGAATCCTGAAGCTGCTTCAATCAGCTGTGTTGAGGCAGGGAGAGAGAAAATCATTCAGGACAGGGGGTAATTTTCTCCAGGAAAGGGTTGGGAAACACTGTCGTAGTACATAAACTTCAGTTCAACTAAGATCAATTCATACAGCCAGCAAAGTCTTTGCACACTGTTTGACGTTAAGTGTGAAAAGCTACACCGAACGGTCTAAACGATTCAGATTTTTATTTTATCTTCTTTTGGACAAATAACTAACCTGAGCGTCGTCAACATGTTAAGATAAATGCAAACCTATGCCCTTGCAAAATGCTTTAGGAAAAACGAACACAGTAGCTTCATGCAGTATGAATAGCTTACATTATCCAAAGGGGAAAAAAGCTAATCCTGCTAATTCAGGAGCTAACGCTAGCCACCGTTGGCGTAGCCTATGTAGAACAACAACTTACACACGTGTAACATTCTGTAATTTGTGTGATTTAGATGTACAATATTGACAGCAGTAGTTATTGACGGCGAACATACAGCAAAAGCAATGTATTCAGACTTTACTCAATGTTTTGGACAATGCTAACCAGTCACCTACCGCTGTCGCGATGTGTAGCGAAACAACCGAGAATGCCTTACGTTACGTCCCGTGGGGACTTAAAAAACTGACCGGCCTGCAGTAGGACCCCTCTCAAAACAAATGATTTGCCCTAGATTGACTTATGGTTTGTCAGTGGAGATAATCTAAGGCATAATGAGCTAAGTACTGTACTTTGGACCTTTGTGTAATTGTTTACATCTCATGCAGCACCAGAGTATACTTGACAACTCTGACAAAGAGCTGTGCTAGCTAACTCAGGTGTATGTTATACAGACATGTGACTAGTAATGACTAATAAGGTCACTAGCAGGCAACGAAGAAGAGGATTTTGGTCAATTTCTGATAGACTTACAAGAGTAATCCATCTGCTGGTCCTCCCTGCAGCACGTCTGACACGATGATTGACGTTTCTCCATTCTCCACATTGGGGTTGTCACGCCCTCCTGACACAGCGATGCCAAAACCCATCTTAGAGTCCTACAGAAAAATAATACAGCACATTCAGTTGAATGTCACTGGGGTGAGCGTTTCCACCAAGCAGTTACGGATTGTTTGCTTTTTACCACTGAGATGATATTTTCTGGTTCTGAAATAATTTGGATGGAAATTTCCTTAGTTATTGTCTTTCCATCCAGCCAGTAGTATATTAGATCTGATGTCAACCCAATCTCCTTAATATGACCTGTCTAAACCACTTAATGGTTTTACTTAGTACGTTTTGGAGGAAACATAATTGCAGCTGGGATTATGCTCATCATTCCATGAAGGGTTATCAGCGGTCAGTAGGAGGTGGTCGATGTTTGGCATCAAAGAAGCAGGACTTTGAGGAATTTGTGTCTGGTGTCTCACGAGTCTAGTTTTTTAATTTTTTTATTATTATATTTATTTAACCCGCGACCCTGTATGCAGGATAAGCGGTTGACGATGGATGGATGGATATTTATTTAACCAGATGACCTCATTGAGATTTAAAACCTCTGACACCTGGATGGTTTAAGAAATAATAACCTATAACCTTTGCTTAAGGTTGGGACAGGGAAAGAAAATGGTCTGAGTAAAATACTGAAATAGTAAACACGCCATGTGCCCTGCTTGAAGTCAGCTTCGAGTTGCCTAAAATAACCATGAAAAAGCAGGTGTGTGATGTGATTGTGACAGACGCCAGCGAGCCTGTGCAGTGAGTAAACCTCATTCTGCGACACCTTAAGAGACGCAATGGCGGGGAGGCTGTGGCTCAGGAGGTGGAGTGGGTTGCCCGTTAATCGGCGGTTCAATCCCCGGCTTCTTGCCCAAGTGTCCTTGGGCAAGATACTGAACCCCGAATTGCCTCTGGTGGCTGTTCCACTGTGTGAATGTTAGTTTCTGTTTGAGCAATTAGGCTCAATGAATGACTGTGTGTGAATGGTGAATGCAGATGTAGTGTAAAAGTGCTTTGAGTGGACGAAAAGAAAGGCACTATACAAATACAGAGCATTTACATTTACATGACGACCTTCGCTAGTGCCCATGGGTTTTAGCCTCCTCGTCAGCATGTCCGCCTCCCGTACCTGAGGTCACTGGTTCGAGCCAGGACCGTGCAGTACGTTCTGAGGAGCAGCCGGTTACATAATGTTTTATGTTTGCTGAACATAACATTGCCTCAATTATAGTCTGTGAAGATATTGGGAGTTTGGTGTGGAGAACTTGACTGGGCTGCAAAGAGGGATGAATTAGAATGCAGACTGCGAGCCAGGCCTTCTGGTCCAACATCTGTGCCTGACCTCACAAATGCACTTCTAGAAGAACGGTCAAAAATTCCCTTGAACACACTGGACAGCCTTCCCAGAAAAGTTGAATCTGTTAGAGCTGCAAAGGGTGGGCCAACTCCTTATTAAACCCTACAGATTAAGAATGTGTGATATTTTCACATTAAGCACTAGGCCTATATTCTTGCAGCTATGAATGTCTGTCCATTGTGACTTCCCCGGGACGTCCTTGTCTGTCAGGTTGCTGAGTATTCGTGTGTGTTCTGTTGTAGGTGTCAGTAGCTGGTGTCGTCGTCATGTATTGGAGCCACCTGGGGCCCAGTGTTTTCCATATGTATAAAGCAGATCCTACCTGTTGCATGTTGGGAGATAGAGAGGAGGGAAACGTAGTTCCCTTTACTCCTTGCTCCTCATTATTTTGCTTTCTTTCTTAACACTACATTGCACTCATCATTACATTCATGCAAACATGCTGACGCTACTGACTTATTGCTCATACTCTCACTACCACACTACACTGCCTTATTTCAGTAGTTATGTTAATTATATGTATGAGTTGTTGTATAATAAAAGTAATGGTACCGTTGGTGCAGCCTGTTTACACGGTGTGATTATTTATGTCAGGGTTTTTGAGCCAGTCCGTGACACCATCCACTTTGAATGCGTTTGAGCACCAAGCAGAAGTCATGTCAGAGTCTGCCTCCTCTCAACTAAAATATCAACTTGTTCACAAATGCGTTCTGCTGCTGCTGGTCAGTTCATTTCACTGATACGACCTATAGTTTAGTCTTTATTGAGGTTTATTTGACAAAAATCTTCAGAGGGATTTTATATATATATATCTCTATGGTAGAACTGGTTACCTTGGTGATGTAAATTAGAAAAATCAAAGGACTGGGTCCTCTGTTCTGATTGGTGGACTGAAGTTAAGCTATTTTCTGAACACCTGTCTGTGTCCTCTTCCCTGAACACATATAGACACACATATACACTGACAGCTACACACACACACACACACACACACACACACACACACACACACATTAAAGGAGACTCATTATGCTTTTTATATTTTCTATAATGTTGCAGTGTCAGATGTTCATGTTAAACATGCCCACAGCTCTACTACTGGCTCTTAATGCTGTCATACAGAGCCGTTTTTTTGCCTGCATCCTGGCGACGCCTGTGCTCAGTCATAAGCTGATGATACACGGGACAACTTTTTGAGCTATGTTGCTGGGCAATCTTGCTGTTGGCAAGTCTGACTATGTTTTGAATGGATAGCGGCGGGGCGGGGCAGCAGGGATTATGGTAGTAATGGTGTGGGGGATGTTGGTAATGTTATGGTAATTTTTATTATCACTGACGGCAACATTGCTCTAAAAGTTGCTCTGTGTATCATCAGCTATATACACAGCCTGCAAATCATGGACCTTTAAACTATTCCACAGAGCAGGATCACATATGGATAAATATCCCAGCAGTCATGTACACACACATACCCGCATGCACGCACTTCCTCTCTTTCTCACTCTTCCTCGTCTGTCTCTCACCCTCTTTCCCTCCCTCTCTCTTTCTGTCTCTCTATTTCCCCCTCTCTCTGTCTCACTGTCTTCCTGTCTATCTGTCTCTGTTGTCTGATGCCTGCCTATGTCTTTATCACTGTCTCTGTTTCACTTTCTGTCTGACCGCCTCGCTCTGTTCCTCTCTTTCAGTTCAGTTCAGTGTGATTTATTGGCATGAATGCTTCAGTTAAACAAAGTTGCCAAAGCAGTTTGCAACAAAATCAACAAAATATTTTACAAGTTACAAACACAAAAATAACGAATACAGATAGAACGTTAAACTAGGGTTAAACAGGAATGAACAAGATTTAACCTCCCATGCAGCGAACATTAAGTGCAGCACTTTCCCGAGTCACTCGCTGTCCCTCAGGTTGTGACACAGACAACATACTTTGTCCTTCTCCTAGAATTATTCTTAATTTATTGTCATTTTGAAGTTCTCTGAAATCTGGTATTATTAGATGGAATTTCTCAAAATATTGCTCTCTTATGCTTCTATAGTCATCACATTTGATGAGTAAATCCGTCTCCACCTCACCTGTCGTACAGTGTTCACATACAGTGTGTATGGTCACTGAGTCTGTACTCGGTAAGTAGTTGCCTCTGCTTGATATTTCTGATAGTAATAACAATCTCTGTTTAGGGCCAGATAACAATGTAGTTTGTGTTGCAGGATTTGTTTGTGTCAGGACAAGCTGGCATAAAGGACTATCTTCAGCGTTCAGCTCTTGTGTTTTAAGAACTTTGAATTGGAGGGAATCTTGGGAACTTGATCTGAGGTGCATCAGGAAATTTAGTCCTCTTTTTTGAGTATCCATTATCACTGGAAACCGCCCTAATTCTGCATTCTACATGCACACATAGGAGTCTGTCTTTGAATGTTTAGGATCTTTCTGCAGAATTCTTCATGTTGGGTCTCAAAGTAATGCTTCTCTCATCTGTAGCAGTTATGACCCCAAACTTCACACCATCTTTCTCTCTGTGTCTGTCTTAGGGCTGGGCGGTATATCGGTATAATAAGGTATACCAATAGAATTTCAAAAGATATAAAATTAAAGGAAGTTTTTCCTTGCCTCTGTCGCCTAGTGCTGCTCTTGGTGGGAATTGTTGGGTCTCTGTAAATAACATCACAGAGTACGGTCTAGACCTGCTCTATGTGAAAAGCGCTATGAGATAACTGTTGGCGCTATATCAATAAAATTGAATTGAATCAAACCACTTTTCATTGGCTGACTTTTTTGATCTCCGGTGCGGAGACCTTTTCAGCCACATTGTCCAATATGTTGTTAATATCCCATACAGCCTAATTCAGGCCGTCATTACTGAGGGGATATGAGGTGGAAAGACAGTAGTCTATCTATAAATCTCTCTATAGCCTAAAAGACTCTCTCTCTGTTTCTGTCTCCCTCTCTCAACTCAATTTTTAATGCTTCTGCATCCATTTCACTACACATCTGCAGATATCAAAATGTTCTACCTTTTGAGGACGTGTGCTATGATTCATGCGGTAACACTTTCTATGAAGGTCATCGCTATAATGACTTATGCATATATTTATAACACATGCGTCAATAAGACACTATGAACAGTAATACCAGTTTATGTCAATATGCGGCAAGAATCTCCGACCGTGTTCCATAACACATTATAACCACCGACTCTGCCTCGTTATGAATACACTAAGCTTTCACAAACACCTGGTTATTACCTTGCGGGTCTACCATATCAGGTTCAGCACCAGTTCTTGCATTCAGGTCTCCACATATTTACACATTTCCCTGGGCTTGACAGTGGGTGATATCTGTGAGGAGAACGCTAATTATTTCTTCATCATACTACGGAGATTCTATAGGTGGGATATAAATTGATGATCGTTGATTGTGGGATCTCGGTCTGAAAGCGGTTGTGTTTCGGATTATGCTTGCTCATGAGCTCAAGTGAGCACGCGTACAAGCACGCGTACGAGCACACTCCCGGTTGCAATCTTAGAACCGCACCACTAGTGGCCGCTGGAAACTACATAATGCCCCTTTAACAAGCAACTGAACGGCAGTGTTTGCTCTATATCAGAAATCAGAAATACTTTATTGATCCCCGAAGGGAAATTCTTTTGTCACAACTGCACACGTAGATAGATAAAGAGTATATAAATATAAGAGTATAAATA